CCGGGGGGGGGGGGGGCAGCGGCGGACCAGGGGGTCCTGGCTCTCCTCCCGCAGGCGAGATGCCCGCGGCCCCGAGGACAGCAGCCCAGGCACCGGGGTGGCCTCCCGTCCCAGCTCTTCTCGGGGGTTGGGAACCACATGGACCGAACCCCCGGCAGGGCGAGTGGTTCTGCCCAGAGCAGGCGCCCTGCGCTGCTGCTGACCCACTTGGGGCTCAGAAACCAGGAATCCTGCAGGCGGCGGCGTGGGCGCACCTGTTGTGGCAGCCGCGAGGCACCCTCCTCACAGCCTCCCGGCTGGGAGAGTCCTCCCGAGCGGCCGTGTGTGCGGGCGGACTCACCGGTGCTGGGGTCGTACACGTCCCCGTCGTTCACCAGCACTTTGTTAAAGAGGACGACGCCCGCATCGCTGGGGAAAGGCTTCCGGGTGAGCCCCGCAGAGAAGGACACCAGAGACGGCGCCGGGACCCCTGGGCAGAGAGAGGATGCACCTGCAGTCAGGCCCCGGGCCGAGGCCCGCGCGCCGTCCCGAGGGGCAGCCTGGGCCTTGCATTTCGCCTCAAAGTGGGCACACCCCCTCCTCACACCCTCGGCCCGACAGTGCCCTTGTCAGAGGGGCAGGCAGTTGCTGGGAGTGCTCATGCGTGGACTGCGCTGGCCGCTGCGTGAGACGGGAGGCTTCGCGCATGCGTGGGCCTTGTGTAGGATGTCTGGGGTGGGGGCGCTGAGGCCCCACAAGGTGCTTCTGTGTGAGCGCTTCTGCGATGAGAGCTGGGAGGCTGCGCGCGGACACGCGAGGGGTGGCTTTGCGCGTGCGTGATGCTATGCGGCGGGGGTGGGGGCGGCGCGCGCACGCGCGTTTGTGTTCGTGCACACGCTAGCAAGTGAGCCGGGGAGAGCTGCACCCGTGCTAATCGCCCAGAGGGAGGAGAAAGGACCCGCAGGTGGGGGCGGCGGGGGGGAACGGGGGCTGCCCAGGACTGCCCACCTCGGCCTCCCGTCCTCGCTAACGTACCTGGGGAGGCTACAGGCGGTGACTTGGGGTACCCTGAAAAACAAAACGCAGATGCAGTGTCAAAGCCCTAATAGCGCACCTCATTTTCCTGAGCCCCTCCTTTTCTGCCTGTTCCTCACACTGTGTAAGTAGACATTAAAAGCACCCACTCCAGCTGCCTGCACAGAGAAGACAGCCCTGAGAACGAACTGGCTGGGGGAATAGGAAAGAAGATGGGCTGGAGCCTTGGGGCCCACGCCAGCGAGCGGGCTACAGACCGACATGTCCCCTCCCACGCTTGCCCTCCAGGAGCAGGGACTGTTCACTAGCTTTGCCCCCAGGTAGACTGGATGCAGTGTTTGTCGTATGGATGCGTGGAAGGAAGGACAGACGTACAATGAACAAATTGCCCAAAAGAATATAAAGCATCCAAGATACGTGGAACAGAAGGAAAACTGTCACCTTAGAAAAGTCCCCACACCTGCCTGCGAGCGAGCTGGGATCACTGGAGCTTGGGGTGGCTGAGAAGGAACGGCAGTGACCCCACCTACCCAGCAGCCACGGTGCTTCATTCAGGCAGGCTGGCCTTGCCTGTGGCTGAGTGCCTCCAACTGGCAGCTTGGTTTAACTCTGAGGTGACTGGTTGGTACTATCCTGTGACAGCTGATGTGAACTACCCCAAGCAGCATCACGTGTTTATATGTCCTAGCCCAGAGCCTCAGCTTCCTCATCTATCGGTAGAATAT